GAGGTGCTTTCAAGTGCCCTTATTTCTTCGTCGAGGTCCGTTCGAGAGCGTTGGCGCTTGATAGATTCAAGAGACTCGTGGATGGAGTGCAGTAGTGATATATCCTTAGTGGAATAGAACTGTTTCTTCAAATTCCTTAACTTTTTGTGGTATGCCCTCGGAATGTATTCAGCTTGGTGTCTACTTAATTTCACTACCTTCTTAGGAGCAACAGTAACTAGAAAAAGGATAACATTCCTGTAAAATAGGGACACTACAGCCTCCAGGGAGTCAGTAGTAAAATATTCATCCCAGTGACAGAGTCGAATGAGTTCTTGGACTAATCCCCAGTCTGTATGTTTGTAACTACGACATATCAGGCTCCCTGAATCCTGTTTGTTTCCTGTATTTAGTGGTGAGAAAGGCAGAGAGCAGAGTACCATTCTATGGTCACTACTGGAAAATCTGTTACCAACATAGGTGAAGACTGGGATTGTGTCATGACAAAACACAAGGTCCAACATGTTGTCACCACGAGTAGGTGTCTGGACGTATTGCTGCCATCCATAACAATCGATAATGGCAAGTAATCCGTCGAAGCGTTGGGGGCCGGAACTACTTAACCAATTGACTTCTGGCAGATTGAAGTCCCCTGCAATTATTTTGTAATTAGTACTAAACGAGCAGGCATGTGCGAATGACTTAGCTAATAACGCATCAGTTTCTTTAGTTGAGCTTGGTGCTCGATAAACAGAGCCTATGAGAAGCTTGTACTTATCTCCTTGTAAGACAACCCAGAGTGAATCAGGTACCTCGTTCAGTATTTCATCTTCCACCTTGCTGGCTACGAATGAGTTATGTATATATATGAGAAATCCTCCACCACGCTTGCAATCTCTATCTGCACGGTGTACAGTGTAATCACCTCTGCCTATATGCACAACAAGTACAGAGTATGAGCACCATGATTCAGTAATCAGAGCTACAGTAGGCTGGGCGATTAATAATAATGTCCTTAGTTCAGATATCTTATTGATTAAGGAACGTGCATTAATTAGCAATATCGTGAATAAGTCACGGGATACTACAAACTGCCTTAACACATCACCATAATCTAATTCTGTTTGTGCGTCAGCAACGCAAGAGTTTATGAATGATAGGGGGTCAGATTGGGTGTCTGTACATCGGGGTTAGAGTGCAGTGAGGTGGTCCTAGGTCCCATGGGTCGTACCAGTGATTCGGGACACTTGGAAAATTTAAAATAATAATACCTAGGTTCTAATTAGTGATCACCACTGGTCATTCCACCAATATTTCGCAGTATCAGACTACCTCTCGGTCAACAAAATCAAATGATAGCATAGAGTAAGGGAAATTAAACAGGTGTCCGAAGGATGAATAGTTACACTTTAGAAGCTGTCGAAAAGGTGTTTGGACTAATCAACCACTGAGCTGGCAAGAAACTTTTGTTCTACCCCAGTTGTACACTGCCTTCTCATATACTCCAAAATCTTGAAAACTGATAACCAAAGTCCCCATTTTTAGTTATCACAGGACTACTCAGTGAAAGAGAAACAATGGAGGATAATAGTTTCATAAACCTACGCGTACTAGCACATACTGAGTAGTCCGAGGCAGGCTTCTTTGGGAGTTCCCAACTTATTCAACCTGAAAATCTATGAGATGTCTTATTTGATTGACGATCCTTTTATTATTCTCGTAGAATATTACTATTATAGCACAGTAGTCCAGTCAAATGCTTCATTCAATGAGTTTTACGCCCACTCTTAATACCCTAAAAGAATCTTAATCTATCCTCAATTATTAGCTGCATCAAATTTAACCGGTATCTTAACATGCAGATGTCGGCGGTCGGTCGGTTTTCGACATAGAACTTTGCACATATGTGCAGCAGTTCAAGTCGCCACACTCCATGTAGCACACAAAGCAAGAGAAGAAAGTAGAAGAAATGCATATTAGAGACAGTAAACGGAGGTGTGAGACAAAGGAATAGTAATAATGAAGAATAAAACAGTTTCATTGGAAATCATAAGTCACAAGGAGCGGATGCATCTGCGCCACTGAGAACGATTTTGAGCCATGACACCAATTGTTTCCAACCATTGGTTTTTGCTGTCCCGAGGACCCCAACCAGGAAGTTTACACCTTCCTAAGTGGTTGGCCTAAACTAACTGTTATGGATTTCATTGACTGATGCAGCCATGTTTTTGTTTGACCGCTACTAGCTCTTTTCCAGCCTGACCAATCCTATGTCAGCTAACATTGCCCGTCGAGGAAGGCGATGACTAAGCATACGTAACACATGTCCTAACCATCTCAGTCGATGTAACTTCACAACCTCGTCGATTGATTTCCCCTCCTTACCTAGCACTCGACCAACGCCTAACCTCAATATTGCTCACCTTATTATACCAATTCACACGGGAGATAGAACACAGGCACCTCTGATCAAAGACAGCTGACCTTTTTTATGTCTTCCACTTTCAACAGCCAGGTCTCACAGCCATAGAGGAGGAAAGAGCGGACTGCTGAGCAGTACACATGCCCTTTGGTCGATAGCCGGATATCACATCTACGCCAGAGACGCCGTAAACTGGCATATGCGAAACGAGACTCCTGTATTCATGCTGGGATTTCGTCAGTGATCAACCAGTTGGGGCTGATGTAACTCCCGAAATCAGTGAAATGGTCAACGCGCTCTACCAGTTCACTGCCTATTTCGAAGTTAGGTGTCAATATAGTCCAGTCCTGTAGCATCGTCTTACATTTGGCGGGAGCGAATAGCATGCCAAACATTCGTAGATTGCTACTCAAGGTGTTCAGAAGACTGCATTTTGTCAGCGTCTTCACCTAGTTGAGAGAACTATGTCATCTGTATATTCTAAGTCAACGAGATTATTCCTTGATGGTAACAAGTCAATCCCTGAGTCGCTGTAGTCAGTTAGGGTTAATTCTATTAGTACATTATTGATGAAATTATATAGAAATGGGGATAATGGGCATCCTTGACGGACGCCACTAGTCGTCACCACTTCAGATGACAACTCCCCGTGAGCCCTCACCTGGCTGCATGAGTACGAGTAGAGTACCTTAATCAGCGCAAGGCACTCTACTCGTCGGCAGTATTAAACACTGCATCACACTGCCATTTCCCGCTATTATAGACACGCACTGAACCAGTGTCGCATAGTTTCCGCAGAATCCTGGAAAACACGTCTTCAATTGTTCAACTATATCTCTCACGCCTTATCCAACTCCAAGTGCAATCACTTGGTCCACAATTTTGCGATGTATTGAGAAATATCAACGAATTACAGACCAAAGTTCAGTTCGAGAATCGAACTTTGCAGATATTTGATTTGTCACACCTAATTCTGAAAAACATCTCGAGAAATTTAAAGCTGCAATTTTCGACAGCCGCTACAAGTACATGCGTGCACGACTGAGTCATTATTATCTGATAACGAAGAGAGGCAGAAAACAACTTCAAGAAAATAAGGACATAATCCTTGTCTGTCCTGATTTAGGGGAATTGTATTGAACAAATCAGATAATGTCGAGAAACAAACAAACGTACTATCAGACGAATACCAAATTCTTCAAATCATCCAACCGAGACGAACAGAAAACCTCCTTGCAAAATTACTGAATAAAATGAAAGAAAATTCAATTATGACATAGATGTATGAACAAACAAAACCATGCAATTCAGTTTATGCCGAGACAATATGGATTGCCTGAAGTGCATAAGAAGGATGTCTCACTTCGACACATTATAGACATGGAGTCAACTCACCATATCATCAGATTGCGAAGTGGTTAGCAGATATCCTTGAACGGGTAAGGAGATATATGACAAGGTCACAGCCTTAATGATGTATTTGACTCTAATCCTCCAATTAACAGACATTTTGGTGTTCTATTCAAAAATGACTGCATAGTTCTACACCCTCCATAGAGCTAAAGAGCCAACATAATGCTGAAACACTCCAAGATTCCATCTTCAAACGCAGAACGGACATACTTAGAAATTGATAAATGCATAAATTCCATTCAGGTACACGCGCACACACATTGTAGGACAAAAAACGATCGGAGTTCAATGAGACCCTGCAAAAATGAAAGAAGTGACATTCATCAAGCATGCCTAAGCCACGGGAATCCTAAGATGTCGTCAGTTACTGAAAGACAATTGCTAATTCTTCCAAACGGGTACCACTGGATGCAAGTCGCTCTATGCGACTATCGAAAACAGACTCATCGCACATCTGCAGCCAGAAGAGACCAGATTTTACATGTGTACCTAACCAAGCGTTGTAAACGCGAATTTTAACGACCATACTAATTTAGTGACAGTATTATAAAGTATTCACATTGGCCGACGTTCCCTCGACTTCAGCAAAGCGATTGGAAATGTCATGTGTTTCTCACAGATAACGAACTTTACAATTGTTTCTGACAGTTCACCTGAGAAGATGAGGGTAGACACGATTGTTTCTTTAAATTTTACTCCTTTGCGTTCCCAATGGAACATATGGCTTGAAGCTAGAGCTTTAAAGTTACGATAGCAATTGTTACATTTTTACGGGGTGGGGTTGCTAACCTCACGCCCTACCTTCCCTCTTTACCAGGCTTACTACCAGCTTAGTTAGGTTTAAGAGTGCGTCGGCAGAGAATCGAACCACGGACGCCCAGCGTAGTTGACGACCATTCTCCCACTGAACCATCGACTGTGGGAACACTGATTTTTGTTAATATTGTAACAGTTCAAGAAGACATACCAAACTTACAAATCTTGACCACCACCACCAAGTGATCAATTACTATTTAGGTATGAAACATTTGGACGTTGAATTAAGGGGAAATTCTTTGTGTACACCATATCTTAAATTGGATTTACAAGCTTATTCACTGAATAAAAACTTTGATTTAACCTCTAAATGTTAACAAAATCTAAAATGCTCCCTGAATACATATATTATATATTATATTACAAACAACACGTATATTTACAGCATGTGTGCACATTCAAAATCAAGAGAAATTACCCAGAGAAGAGTTTCAATTTGAAATTTACACTCAATGAATGTTAAATGCACGAATACACAAATGCCATTCGAATTGTAAATGGATTGGATCACATTGATTTCATTGTCTACGGCGTCGTTTATTACCTGCACTGGTAGAAGTAGATTCAGTATTTATTATGGAACGTTGATCACTTTTTAGAAAGTTAAGTAATAGACTGCGACCATTCTCATCTGAATTCTGATATATTCGAAACAACAGGCTAGGTGGTGGAGCAGGCAAAAGGTGATCTTCATCAACACTTTCATTATTTCTAGTGTCATATAGAGTGGGACCAACACTCTGTGACAATACACTATTCTCATGACTAGTTGATGCATGACTTTCATTACTGTCATCATTTGTGCTAATATTTATGACTGCAGGAGGGGTAGGTTCCTGTCGAGCTTTCGATAGCTTGTCATTATAAGATTGATTTCTGTTTGTTGTTGTATTTTGTAAACCAACCATAAGACGATTACGTAGTTCTGCAGGAAGTAGTTCAGGATTCATTGGACACGTTTTTTTATGACTGGGTAAAATGCACAAGCGACCGATAAAATCACATCCTAGAGAACGCCAAGGACATGATACCTGAAAATAAAAATAAACTAAATAGATGAATAGAAAGAATAAGAATACGGCTACTTCAAAATATAAAAGCCTCAAGCTTACAACCCCCCGCCCGCGTTCACAAATCAGGACGCCAAGGAATTTTCTAACAAACAATTGACGACACGTAATACAGTAGGTGTAGATGGGATTTGGATCTATCTGATTTTGCCGATGAATTCACAGCATTCGCAGTTACACATCTTGATAACTCTTTATCAGTTGTCACTGGAGATTTCAATACCTGTGACTGTTCTTTTCTTGAATCATTAGGTCATGTCAACATTGTCAAATTTCCAACTCGACTTGATAAAACTCTGGATCTAGTATTTACTAATGATGCGGAAATATATGAAACACGCAGACGTGCCCCTATAATGAACTCTGATCGTTGTATCATTCGGATATTACCCAAGATATATAGCAGATATCACTCTAATATCCTCTCGAATCTCTCCAGGAAAACACAACAAAGATGTTACTCACAAGAAAACGTGCTCAAACTAAGATGTATGCTAAATGACACAAACTGGTAACTTTTCACTGAACACACTCTGGATGATACTATTTCCAATCTGACTGACTATCTTAAATTCTGCCTTGATGTGTGCTGTCCAAAACAGATACTTTTCAAAAGAATAGACCGTTTCTCTTCTCCTCATCTCAAAAAGCTTCGAAGAGAAAAAGAGAGACTGTACAAGGCTAAGGATAAAGCTGATCTTAGGAGAATAAACATCCAAATTAATTCCGAAATCAAGAGGTTAAACAATATTTATAATCAAAGAATTTTGTCATGTAAAACTCCTGGGTACATGTGGAAGCTTTTCAAAGAAATTACAGGTTGTGGTAAGCATAGTTCTTGTGCTCCCTCTATTGATGTAAATACTCTTAATAGATCTTTTATCCGCCTTCCCAATGTACCTTTTAGCTTCAATGTAACAAATAACATGACCAGTGACTTTAATAGTTTTAAAACTTCTGATGTTCTTAAATGTTTAAAATCTCTTAAACCTTCCCAGAGTCTAGGTCCTGATGGTATACCTGCCATTGTCCTAAGGAAATGTGCTGATATTTTAAGCAACCCACTTACAAACATTTTTAATACTTCTTTTTCTAATAATGTTGTACCTTCTCTGTGGAAAAATATTAAAATCATCCCTGTACCCAAGTCAGGCTCTGGAAATAATGCTAAGTTTAGACCTATCGCTATTACCTCTCCTTTTTTGAAACTAATGGAGAAACTATTGTTACTAAAACTTGTTCCCTCCCTAAGTTTCTCAAACGATCCAAAGCAGTTTGCTTACAAACAGGGTAGAAGTACTTTGGACGCTGCTGCTGTGTTTCATCACAACATTGTATCCTCCTTAGACAAAGGGGCCAAGTATGTCCGTTGTACGTTCCTTGATTATACATCTGCTTTCGACTCTGTACCTAGAGGCCTATTGTTAAACAAGCTTAGCCTTACACAAACTGAGCCCTGGGCTATCAACTGGCTACACTCTTACTTCTCTAATAGGATGCAGTACACGGTATATAATGGTGTATCTTCCTCTCCTTTGCTTACTGAAGCTGGAGTTCCTCAGGGTGCTGTTCTTTCTCCGTTTCTCTTTTCCTTCTTCTTACATGATTTACCTCTCTCAGATGAAATCAACTTCGTCAAATATGCAGATGACCTGTCTGTATCGTTTCCCATTAAGTCTCAGTCAGACTGTCTCAAATTAAATAGCTTCCTGTCGGACATCAGTGAGTGGTCCAAACTAAATGGTCTCATGCTGAATCCCTCAAAATGCCAGACTATTGACTTCTCCCTTAGGCATAAACGAGATCTACAAACACTAGTAAGTTCTCATGAAAACTGTTGCATTGAGGGGACTAAAATTGAAACTAAGTCTAATGCAAAATACCTCGGTCTAGTTCTATCTTCCGACCTTACTTGGACATCTCATATCCTAATGATTTCTAAGAAAGTGTTCTGTCTTACCTACTACATTAAGAAACTTAGACAATCTGGAATCACCCAACCTCTACTTTCACAATTTGTCAACTCTTGTATCTTACCTATTCTACTTTACTGCTCCCCGTTAGTCTTTCCTGGTCTACTGAAAAAGGACTATGCCATCCTGAGAAGGATGTTGAAGGTAGTCAGTAGGACTAGTGGTGTAAAACTCAGTCAGCTCGTCACTACTTTAGTTGATAGGCATCTGAATACATGCGAAAAATGGTCAAAAACCATACTCTCCGACCCCCAACACCCCCTCTATTCCCAACTCTCGCCTTGTATCTCATCAAGTAAAACCAGAAATCAGTATAAAATAATCTATGCTCGTACAACCAAGTACAGGAACTCAACGATACCATACTTGGCCCGTGTTCTAAGCGACAGAGACAATGTTAAGCGTGAAACTTATGACTTGCTCTGTTATTAACAACATAATTTTAGGCTCTTTTATTTCTCTCTTATTTTGTATTCTTTAGTGAACTCCTTCTCAAACATACTTAGCTACCTAAAATATTAACATTGGCTTCCTTTTTTGTACTTTACTATATTCCTTCTATTGTGTATCCACTGGTTCCGACTCTATTAGCACTATGAGTATTACAAAATTGTCCTGTCATTAACCATCATGTAATATTAGTTTTGTGGCTGTTTTTTCTTATTTTTCTATACTTTTCGGCAATATTAAACTGACAATCATTGGTTGTGAACGCCATAGTCACCACCTTAAAAAATTTTGTATTATTCAGGATTACTCACACTACCACCACAAACACTGCATTAGACTTTGGTAGACTTTTGTACTTTTTCGCATTTATAATTATTTTGTGTTTATCCTGTTTTTTTGCTGTTGGTGTCTTCAGATTTATTTTTTTGTTTGTTTAATACTTATTTTAAATGTCTGTAAAATTAGATGCAAATATTGTAGATATGTGCTGAAAATTCCACACTGTACCACTAGTACTGTTTCTGGAATAAAGCAAATTATTATTATTATTATTATTATTATTATTATTATAATGAACAGTGAAATGAAACATTAACTGACTGACTGGATTCAACATAGAACTTGGCACCGATGTACAGCAGTTCGAGTTCCCACACTCCCTCCTCCATGCAGCACACGAAGCAAGAGAAGAGAGGCTCAAAAGAGAGATAGTAAACACTGGTGTGGGTGAGGGAAAAAGAACAGTAATAACGAAGGACGATGGATATGATATATCACAAAGAGTGAATTCATCTGCGCTGTCACTGAGAACGATTTTGAACCATATTAAAAATCTTCTCCAACCATTGATTCTTACCATCCCAAGGACCCCCCACCAACCAAGCATTCTACACCGCCATACGTGTCTGGCTTAAACTAACTGTTGTGGATTTGACTGACCGATGAAGCCATGTTTTAGTTTGACCACCATTAGCTCTTTTCCTGCCTGATCCAACCTATGTCAGCTAACATTACCCGTCGAAGAATGCGATGGCTAGGCGCATGCGTAATACAAGTTCTAACTATCTCAACCGATATACCTTCATAACCTCATCGGATAACTTTTCCTCATTGCCAAAAAACACACGAAGCCTAACCTCAATATTCCTCACTTCAGTATACCACCCAACACACACGGGAGATAGAATGCAGTTAATTCCATCGTATAATCGGTTTAGTCTGGATTTTAAAGAAAAAAAATCAAATTTACCACATTTCCCAATGAAACGATGACATCACAATGTTGGCATCAGTGGCCATCTTTATCAGTAGGTAACGCGACTACAAACACTTGTGCACCTAGGTAGTGAATTTTCTTCTGCTTTTTCCTCATAAATCCCTACAGTTGTACATTGTATTAGCAAATGATTACTTGAAAAAGAGAGTATAAACCAATGCCAACGATACTCTCATTGTCTGTACTCACTAAACGTACAAAAACTTACCATATAATCGCCTATTATATTTTCAACTATAAAATCATGATGCATGGATCCTTTTGGGATAGGCAAACGATCAACCGGACAGGTAGGCGAGTCACGAATCCACGGGTCGATACACTAAAAACAAAGACGGTAAAAACAATACAGTACAAAAAAATCTATATATATTAGGAAATTTACTACATTCCTGTGTGTTTAATGAACATTTCCATTTTATGGATTAAAAATCAATATGAAGAATTTCTTTTGTTTTCATCCATGTACTGGCATTTATTATTATTATTATTATTACGGTGTGCGGACAAGTGAATGTGCTTCACACGAGTAATGATTAGCCCGATTCTCTTCGATTTCTCTTGAATTTTTCGATCCCACTGAATTACAGATTAATAGAACAAATAACTCACTGGCTGGTTTCAACAGAGAACTTGGCACAGATGTACAGCAGTTCGAGTTGCCACACTTCCTCCATGTAGTACACAAGGCAAGAGAAGACAGTTAAGAGAGATTCAAACGAGAGATAACAAACAGAAGTGTGAATGAGGGAAAAAGAATAATAAGCACACTAAGTCCTCCTGATCATCATTCTCCTTTATCCCTGTCACCCCCCCCCCCTCATCCTTTTGCTTCCCGACTACTGTCAGTACTATTCTGCCGATAGGTATATATAATGTATCAAATTATCCTAGTCACCCTGCAATGTTATTCGTGTATATTTATTGATACTATACCCTCGAAACGCACTAGATCTCAAGGCTCTAAAAAGTGCAGTCTCTGTAAGCACGTTGTTACCTTCTACGAGCACTCTTAGTTGATGAGTCCCATACAGGAGAAAATGTGCATCCTGGATTATACTGCTAGTTACCAATAAGCAAATACAGCCGTTGTATAAACAAATATACATTATTAGGTAAAGTGATATTTAGACAATTAACACTTACACTTTTGCAAAATGAATGGCCACATGGTGCACGTTGAGGATTAGAAAATGCCTCCTGGCATATAGGACAGAAGAGATGCGGGCTGATAGATGATGGGTTAACGAAAGATCTAAAAGGTATTTATCTTTTTTCATTGAAAGTGGCTACCTTTCTTCGGGAGCAGGCTCAGATTTCCTTGGAGTAGCTCTTTTAGTAGAACGTCTACGTTCCATTGGTTTAGATACCAATATGTTTGTTTGTAGACTTTTTGTGCTAAAATACAAAATGGAAAAGAAATCATAATTATTTTAAAATCATAGACTGCCTATACTTGATTCATAGATGCTTTAAAAAACGCTGTTTATTTATACGGAAGAAACTCCGTGACAAATGTTCTTACAACAAGAAGTGTCGACAGGTTAAAATGTGTATATGAGAAGCAACAGAGATTGAAGATGGAAAAAGACATTATTACATAGAACATATAGTAAATAAGTAACGAGTACAAGTAACCTTCAATTTACATACACCAAGCAGTATATCGCATTCAGTCCAAAATTTAGCTCCCTCTGTATATAAAATTGAGTCTAATTGGCGTAGACGGGATATCCGGTCTGCTATCTAACAAAGGACGTGTGTAATGCTAAGCGATTCACTTCGTCCTCCTTTATGACTAAGAGAAACACATGGCTATTGAAAGTGGAAGACATATAAACACAAAATAAACAGCATACTAGGAGACATCGAGTTCACAAGAGAAGAAACAAAATCCCCTTTTTAGATGCCTTAATCAATGGAACAACTACACGAGAAGTCTAGAAACAAACAATACATTGAATGGACACACACACACACACAGATCAAACGCTCAACTTTAACGGCGATATTCCAATGACTCACATAAGAAACTGCGTACTAACATTGTCTACCGAAGTTAAAACACACTGTAGCATTCCAGTACAGAGGAAAAATAGAAGACAAATATTAACTGGCTTTCCTCATGAAAAAAGGAATACCCATACACTACTACCAGAAAATGTTGAGACTTGAGTCGAAGTACCAACAAGAAACCAGGCTCAATTACCACAAGAAAACTTATCTTACTACATATATTAGGGATATCTCTGGAATAACAGCTAGAATACTGAAACCATTCGAAGTAGACACAGAGCACAAACCAACACAATCTCGCCACTCAATAGTGTGCAGACCAAAATCCAACAGCAAAAGATGACAATATCAACACTATCTGCAAAAACAAATCGCTTGAACTGTGATAAAAAACCACACTGGCCAAAGTGGGTGTCTCCGCCAACTCAGAACCCACGAACTAGCTGTGGAAAGGACGTTTCCCATCATATCGATTCAGGTATACAATTATGGATACAAATTGTATTGGAAGTAGAATACTTCAACAGGGGAAACCGAAAACTTGTCAGGCATTTCCTACAAACCTGGTACTAATATGAATCAGTGACTAATAAACCTTACCATAAATCAAATTGGTCCACTAATAAAGAATAATGTACATGGCGAATAAGTTGAAGTTCGAAATCAATAAAGCCGATCAATAAACATATAAATCAATAGCCAATCACGGCAAAGGTTTCCAGGCAACACGATCATATCATTTAAGGAGAATATGAGTAAGTACACTCCACATCAAAGCTTGCGCTGAAGATGTCCAGAAGGACAACGAACTCACAGCTAAATCAACCAAATGAGACAATACAACCAAGTGAAATAGAACCTGTTTCCTAACGTTTTACGCCACTATAAGGAAACGCCACTGTATTACCTGCAGAGTGGCTTAAGCGATGAAAAGATGTTGCGACATGGAAAACGAACCACGTCAGTTATTTTATGTGACCCAGTCAAGTATATTTACCCACACATCACAGTCAGTGGGTGGAATCTCGGTTATCACAGTGTATAATAGCAGTCTAAGTAAACTCTTGCAAGAAATGGCTTCAATAGAGGGATGTCTAATAAGATATGATTATGAGCAATAGTTTATGCTCAAAACATCATCAGTTAATATTACTGTACAACACTGTGTGATTTATCAAAATAAAATCTTATCTTTAATGGAGTTATACTCTACATCAAAGATACTCGGGAGTCAACTGTTTGGACCAGGAAATACAAGAATTAGAGAACCTAAACTTTAGGGAAGGCCAGTAAAACTGTTATACTCTATTCAAATGAACTGTCGTCAAGATTTGACAGAATAGTTCCAAAATATTTGGGCGCCGAGTGAGAAGTAGACATTTGTAAGAAATTATATTTGTAAAGTCTCAGCGAGATTGAAATGAGTAATTTCCCTGAAGACGTTCGGACCAGATTGCCAAACGAAACGTTGGAATTATTCATTTCAATCTCGCTGGCAAAGTTAAACTTTCGACAACCAATCAGCAAACGACCAAGTCGACTTAAACAGTGAGGGCAACATCCAATGTTGAGTGATGATCGCTGTGGGTAATAATTTTGGGGAATTATTTATCGCTACAAGGTTGTGATTATTATTTGTAAATCCAATGGGGCTTTCCCGCGCAGGTTCAAATCCTGCTCGCGACGCCAAAATGTGATTATTATTTGTAATAGTAGTATTGTATTTCGCACTGACCGAATTACAGGAACTCAACCAAAACACAGAGAGGGATGAATTTAGGAATTTGTATTTGGCGGAATTATATTTTAAATCATATAATAAATATAGTAACAAACAACAGTAAGTATTTAAACAATACAAAGATAGAAATTGTCAATCACCACAAAGGTAGTTATTGACTGAGTAAAGTCATTTCAACACAAAAATTGCAGTATATTATTAATTATATATATATATATTTATAGGATATTAAAAGGTGCGCTTGCTAATGTAATTGTTTCTAGAATTACTTATACTAACACAAATTATTGAAGATTTTACAGAATAGAGAATCAGTAAGTTAGTTAAACGTTCGCTGCGTAAGTAATGGAGTCGAGTTGTCCTTAATTGAATACACTGAAGACTGAACTGACTTTCATTTACCACTTTACCAACAGTTGTGGTCTTTTAGACAAGCTAGGGCGGACATGTCAATGTGTCTTTCTAGACTCCGTTTGAACCCATTAGGGTTTTCACAACATCTAATTTCAGGTGGTAGTTGGTTCCAAAGAGTGCCATATTTAATGATGAAAACGTTTGCCCTGATGGATTTCCTGTGGGTGGACACCTTGACAAGGTAGTTGTGGTTTCGCAGCTGACATGATTTGATATTTGCTCATGTGGTGGATGCGCTGCTGTAACAATGTCTCCCAATGACTTTGAAGAGTGGGAATAAGTTGCATTTCACTCTCCTTAACAACGGAAGCAGCATTGTTTGGTGGGTTATATTCAGAAAAGTTTGTGGCATCACTGGTCCTACAGGGACTCTAAATTTGTATGTTTCCCCCAAAATACAGGAGTGGTGAAACACCTGATGGCATCTTCTCCGTTTTTACATCCCATTTGTGCTATTGTAACAACAGAAGACAAGGGCCAGGCAACAGATCGTTTATTAAGGGAAATCAACACATATTTATAGATTTTAATGTACATTATTGCAGATTGAACTTTGTTAGCCTAGGGATTAAAGTCTCCCACTGTATTTCCTTTATGAATGCATCTGTTAATGATACATTGCATTTACCTATTTCATTACACTTTAATGATTCACCTTAGCACCTTTCCTTTTCTAAAACAGCTTACTATCCCTTGTAAACGTTGTACTTACCTCAATATTGGTTGGTTATCGTATGCTTACAACTACGGGTTGTAAACGAAACGAAGTCGATTTTCGATAAAGAAAGGAAGACGAAATTTGCAGTATAAAATGATATCATTCTATTTCACAGGTTCTCATCAGCTGCAGACTACCTGAAATTACAATGGTCATATAAATGATAATAACATACTTTAATGTTTGATTAGTAGTAGAGAAGAGATAAAATTGACGCATCCAAAAAAGAACGAAAGCATTACAATTTTAGTTTAAGTTATCATCATCAATTTATACACTTTCAGAGTTGAAAGGAGGGGGGAGGGGTAAGACAGAAAACAGAAAAATTGATTAACAGAAACAGTGTTAGCTTGTAGGTTCACATGGCAACTCCAAAAAACAAAAGCATTTACAGTTTATAAGATTGAGATTTGCTCAGTGAGTTGGGATCACTGATGACTAATCAAAATTCAGTTACCAAGGGAGTGAGAGGTTAATCACACTCTCTTTCTGTATGCATAAGTCCGGTTTAAATCGTTTGATTGCGATCGCTTCGGCAAATCGTAGTAAATTTGCTGTCCTTTGTCTATTTATTTGTCTCCCATTCAAAGGAGATGCAGTTTCACAAAAGATTGACAGAAGACTGAAAGGAGCAATAAATAGAAGCTTCCCGGCAGCAAAACTCATAACAGTATACAACACCACTCCTTCCATGATCAACTCAAAACTGGATAAATACCCTGCTGATGTCACCTCCAACTGCGTTTATGAATTTACGTGCACTTGCGGGAGCAAGTACATTGGAAGGACAGAAAGAAGGGCTTCTATCCGGTTTTCTGAACATATTCCAAGAAACCTATGCCTGAAAGGAAGCAAATACTCTCAGAGTGCAATTACCAGACATATTGTTGATACCGGACATCTCGT